TTTGGTTGCTGAGTAATATTCCATTGTATATATGTACCACATCTTTCTAATCCAGTCATCTACTTTTGGGCATTTGGGCTGCTTCCATGTTTTAGGAGCAGAGGTTTTAACGTCGTAAGAGACCACGAAAGACTTGAGACACCGGCCCTGCAGGCCATGTGTGCTGGCGTTTACCAGAAACAAGCTTCCGAACCTGAGTGGTGGGGCAGGCCCGAGGCTCCAAAACCTTCCTGTGCGGCCTCGGGCAGAGGGAGGCCGGCTCGGGCGGGACACCTGGCTGCCCCTCCTCTGACTGGCATTGTGGCCTCAGCGCACAGAGGCTGCACTCCCTGGAGAAGGCAGCCCAGGCCTTGCTCGTGACCACCTGCCCTTCTTCCTCCATCTCCTCCTTCCCTGGCCCTGCTGAGGAGGCTCCTGGGTCCTCTGGGCCTTCTGGAAGCCCAGACTGCCAAGGCGGGCGTGAGATGGGTGCTGCCAGCTCAGGACCCTGCCCCACCGCTAGAACCAGGGCGGGGAACTTTCTCAAAAGCTAAAAATAAAGTGTATTAGCTGTATTCACAGATGCGCTCCCTCCACCTCCCCACCCCCCCAAACTCCCCCCTCAACACACAAACATCATGGGATGACTCCGTGCAGTGGGCACATTCAGCTCTGGCTGAGCAGTAATTCAGCCTGCATCCAGGCTTTAAGCTGTCAAGTGCCAGGATGAATAGAGCAGCCCTGAGCCGACACCTGGGTCTGTTTGGACATCCCCAACCCTCCGTCCCTTGAAAATAGGTCACTTCAGGGCTTGCTTTGTGCCTGCTGGGGGAGCGAGCGTTGCATGGACTAAGCAGCTCAGTGAGTCAGTGGGATGTCACTGTCCAGTCCAGCCATGGACGGTGCCCCGGACCCCAGAGAGAAGAGGGGTCACACAGACTGAGTCTTCCGCTCTCCTCCAGGTACTACCATGGCATGGACTATGAGATGGACCTCGCCCCTCTGGAAAGCCCCACACACCTCATGAAATTCCTGACAGAGAATGTGTCCGGGACCCCCGAGTACCCAGATGGCCTCAAGAAGAGTAACCTGATGAGCCTGGAGGGAGCCGTGCCAGCCCAGGGCAAGGCCGTCCCCCTCCCCCCGTGCCCCGGCAAGCTGGAGGCCGGCTCCGTGGACAGCTACCTGCTGTCCCCCAGTGACGTGTATGACAACGGCTCCCTCAACTCCTTGTTTGAGAGCATTCATGGGGTGCCACCCACACAGCGCTGGCAGCCAGACAGCACCTTCAAAGATGACGCACAAGAGGTGAGGCCCACCCTGTGCCCGGCGGAGCCCCGTGTGTGCATGCACAGGAGGGCAGCCGGCGAGTGGCCCGCTGGGGCTCGAGCGGCGGAGTCCGGGGCTGCGCTGCCAGGCGCTGCCTTCTTGGGCAGGGCGCGACCCGCACAGCAGTGCCAGGCCGCGGAGGCCCCGGCAGCCTGGACGTGGCCATTTATTCTGTCTGGCTTGTGTTTCCTACAGCCACTGCTCTTCCCAGATATCCTGAAAACGTCCCCAGAGCCCCCGTGTCCAGAGGACTATCCCAGCCCCACAAGGTAACTTGGCCCCTGTGGCTCTGGGCCACCTAGACGGTGGGTGGGAGGTGGCAGACATGCTGTCCCCAGAGAAGGCGTCACCAGGAGTGAAAAGGGGGATGAAGACCCGTAGGGCTGGGGCAGGGGCTCAGGGGTTCTTCATCTCCCCCGGGGCTTTGATACACTACAGGGTCTCTCCAGTACCCATTATCCGGCAGGATTGTGGCTCAACAAACCATTAAGTAGCAGCCCTGAAAGTGTGCGAATCAAGGGCCAGGGGAGTGGCTTGCTGAGCTGCCCAGCGAGGCCATACAGAGCCTTGGGGCCCTGCCCTGCTGCCCTGGGCGACCCTGCCTAGGAGCTGGGAGCCAGCCTCATCACCCACTCCTCCTTCCTGCAGTGACTTTGAGTACACCTTGGGGTCCCCCAAAGCCATCCACATCAAGTCAGGCGAGTCACCTATGGCCTACCTCAACAAGGGCCAGTTCTACCCAGTCACCCTGCGGACCCCAGCGGGCGGCAAAGGCCTTGCTTTGTCCTCCAACAAAGTCAAGGTGAGTGGGTCATGAAACAGCTTGGGGCGCGGGGGAGAGGGAGAGGGGGTGGTCAGGATTGCCCTGCCTGCCAGAGACTTGGGCCCTCAGAGAGGGAGTGCAGCAACTGTCCGTTGCTGAAGTGGGGGAAACTGAGGCAAAAGGGCAGGGCTGCTGCATCCCAGTTCTGGGTAAGAACATGGGTCTCCTGAAGCCGAGGTCACGCCGACTCACTGTGCTTGCAGAGCGTGGTGATGGTTGTCTTCGACAATGAGAAGGTCCCAGTAGAGCAGTTACGGTTCTGGAAGCATTGGCATTCCCGGCAGCCAACTGCCAAGCAGCGAGTCATCGATGTGGGTAAGCACCTGCCCAGGTCTCTCTCTGACTCTCTCTGTCATGAACACGCATGCGCATGTGCAAACACACATGTAACCAGACACGCACACACACATCAGCAAGGCCCTTTTTGCTAGGCTCCTTTCTCCCAGCCCCAGGGCTCTCTGCAGGATGTCGCTCTGGCCTGGCCACTGCCTGGCCCTGTCTCCAGGTCACATGCTGTGGGGCTTGCAGGATTTGCGGCTGTAGGCTGGAAGTAGTGCCCCTGTCTGCGTTGCTTTGGGGTGAACAGTGTCCCGGGAGCCCAGCAGGGACACATCAATAGGCCCGTGGGGTCCTGACTTGCTGGTCCCCTTCAGGGGGCTTGGCCAGCGGAGACAAAGGCGCACGGTGACAGTGCAGGCAGCAGGTGACTCAGAGGGCCCGAGGCAGAGTGCAAGGGCACTTCTGCTGAGGGTCTCGGCAGGGGGGCGGGGAGGTGCTCTGTGCCCCCTGGCCTCGGTGCTCCACTGCTGTCTTCCCCGCGGAGGGCCCTTGTCACCTCCCTTCCCTGACCCTCGGTTACTTCAGCTGTCAAGCAGAATGAGACCAGCTGTCCTGCTGTTCTGCTTGGAGCTTGCAGACTGATGACACAAGCGAGGACAGTCCAGGGGCCCAGCTGAGTAGCCAGGCGGCAGAGTGGTCAGCGCTGGGAGTCAGTGGAGCTGGCTGCTTGGGCACTGCCTTTCCTTACCTGTGTGGCCCTGGGCAAGTGCCCAGACTTCTCTGAGCTTTCTCTCCTCATCTTCCTCTGGTGTTCACTGGACATTCATGGCACTATTGCAAGGGTTAACTGACGTCTGGCCATACACGTGGCCAGTCAGTGAGTGGCTGCCCTGCGACCCTTTATGGCATGCCAGTGCTTCAATATTAGTTTAAAAGTTCCGTATTAGTGTCACTGATGCCATGATTACTTCCATTGTTATCACTGCTGCTACTTTATCTGGGAGATCTCAGCACATTCCCATTGAAAAGTATAACCTCAGTTGCAGAATAGGGAGGGCCCTGACAGCACAGAATTCCCCCTGGGCTTTGGGAAAAGGCTTCCCAGGCTGTGTTCTGCTGTCCCAGTTTCCCCGGGCTGCCCTTCCGCCAGGACACAATAACCAGTTTTCTCCCTGGTTTGAAGAGAGTTTCTAACCAGTTTTCTCCCTGGTTTGAAGCGAGTTTCTTGGGGGAGAGGAGGGACGTCCCTGCATAGAGTGAGGCCTGGTTCCTAAAGGCCCCTCCCCGGGGGCCCCAGGGCCTTCTCCCGACTCCCCATGGTCTCCTGTGCTTCCAGCTGACTGCAAAGAAAACTTCAACACTGTGCAGCACATAGAGGAGGTGGCCTACAACGCACTGTCCTTCGTGTGGAATGTCAACGAGGAGGCCAAGGTCAGTGGCTGGGTTGGCCTGGGTCAGCTGGAAGCCCCCTTTGGGGAAAGGGCGCCCGCACCTGGGACTGGCGCCTGGACCACTGAGATGCCGCTGCAGGCGGTGGGGATGCAGAATGGTGGAGACGCTGTGCTCCAGAGCCAGAAAGATTAGACCCATATCCCACCTCCGTGACCTTGACCTGCTGCCTTGATCCCTCTGAGCCTCAGTTTCCTTGGCTGTGAAATTGGGGTGTAATCATAGCACCAACTGATTGAAGTGAGGATCAGGTGAGATAAGGAAAAGAGAGTCCACCCTGGCTCGTAAGTGATGGCTGTTATTAATCTAATCCCCCATCTACCCGAAAGGGAAACTGAGCCTGGTGCCAGGTCCTGCAGGAAGCAGTGGGTGACGCCAGTCTTCCTGACGGGCAGGCCCCTGCAGAGTGTGGCAGGTGAGTTGCTTTGAGTCTGGTAAATGAGGGTGCAAATCCCTGTTACCTCACTTCTTGAGCCCATAGGAAGGGAGCCATAATCTGCTCTCTCAGGTTGTGGTGAAGAAGCCGTGAGATCATGCATGTCTAAGGGACGGGCACGGTGCCAGGCCCATCGGAGAGGCCCGAGAATTGGAGCCTCTGGTGACTTTTTTCATACGGGTGATTAAGCTATTTATAGTTTTCCCCGTCTTAGAGCTTAAGGCCAGGCTTGGTCGCTCTGCTCCTGGGCTGCTGTCTCTCAGTTTCCGGTTGAGTGAAACTGGCAGCTTGGCATCATGGTAGGGTGCTGGTCCGGGAGTCTGGGTGATTTTGGCTGCCCCCCCCCCCGGGCCAGGCTTGCTCCATCTGACCAGCCTGGGTCCAGCTTACCTCAGGGCCCCATCTGGAACGGATGGTCTGGGGAGCTAATTCCTGTCTCCCTGCCTGATTCATGGGGTGGTCCAGGCTGGAGAGGATGGAGGTGGGGGCTCAGAAAATACAAAGGGAGACACGAAGGTAAGGGATTGTTATTATTCAAACAGAGGCCAGGGGCTGGAGGAGGAGCCGGGGGGCCCCCAGTTGAGGGAGGTGGGGGCAGAGTTTCGTGGGAAGGGAGAGGTGGGTTTCGGTTGGGATTTTCTCACCGCCTTTTAAGCCCCCAGGCTTGGGTCTCTCTCAGGTGTGAGCTGGGTGGGGGCTGCACTGGGCTGAGCTGGCTGAGGGGGAGGTATGTCTGGCATGCTCCCTAGACCTCAGCACAGGGGAAGCGGCGGGGTCTGTTCCCCCCACACCCTAGCCTCCCCCTTCAGGTCAGGGTCTTTTCCAATGGGAATGGCTCAAAGAACAGGGGCCAGCCTGGAGTGGGATCTAGCCCTGGTGGCCCATGAAGGGTCAGCAGGTAGCCAATGACCACGTGAACTTGCCAGGGGTTGCTGGGCTGAGACCAGCCCGCAGCCTTCTGTCAGGCAGAAGCTTTAAGCCGGGACGCCAGCTTCCTTCCGCACAGCAGCCGCATGTCCACAGCTCCTGCATGCCAGCTGCCCACCCCTGACTCCCGTGGGAATGGCAGCGAGTCACATCCTGCTCAGTGGCTTGGGGGACAAAGAGCCAGTGTCTCTGGGTCCCAAGGCCAGCAGGACAGTGGTCTTCAGAAGCTGAGAGGAGGGCATTTGTTTTTCTACCTGCTCCCTGGGAGCTACAGAAAAATGAGGGTGTCTTACACCCTACCTGACCCTTCCTGTCCTTGCCAGCAGCCTTGGCCCTGGGCTTCCCCCGGCTGTGCCGTGGCAGCTGCACCGCCAGGGTGAGCGCCTGGGCTGAAGCCCTGACTCTCCCTCCTGCTCCTTGTCTTGGCCCGGGGGAAGGAAGCCGCCTCACCCTCTGAGCGTCAGTTTCCCCACCTGTAAAGAGGCGGCGCTGTTTGCTTTCCAGGGGTGCAGTGGGTGAAGGCCGCCGACATGGTCCGCAGTAGCCTCAGCGAACAGGCTTGTCCCGAGCCAGCGGGGCTGGCGGCCTGTGCGGGTTGTTTATCTGGCTCCCCCATCTGTCCCCAGGTGTTCATTGGTGTCAACTGCCTCAGTACAGACTTCTCCTCCCAGAAGGGGGTGAAGGGTGTCCCCCTCAACCTGCAGATTGACACCTACGACTGTGGCTCTGGAGCTGAACGCCTGGTGCACCGGGCCGTCTGTCAGATCAAGATCTTCTGTGACAAGGTGGCTGGGGGACCGGCCCTCTGCTGGGCCACGGGGTGGAGCGGGCCCGGGGTAGGGGAGAAGGACCACCCCCACCTGAGTGTCTGTCTCTGCCCCTTGCTCTCAGAACGTCTCTGCCTGTGAGCGAGTCGTACGTCCCAGGCTCTTGTACCATGTCCGGATTTCAGCCTCCGCCGTCGCTGACGATCTCCTTACTAGGAGACTTCAGTGGGCCTCTCCGTGCCCCTTGGTCAGCTTTCTCTGTCTGTTTCTCTTCTCTCTGCCTCTGTCTCTGTCTCTCCTTTCCCCACATCTCTGTTTCTGTTTCTTCTCTGTCTTTCCCTGCCCCCTGACCCGTATGACCGCCGGGCAGCTACGGCTGGGCCCGTCGACCCTCCCATGTCCTGGTCTTACTCGGGGAAGACAGGAGCACCAGAAGGCTGGCCCGTATTTGAGCTGCAGAGCAGCCAGCCCTGACCCCAAGGCCCTCGGTGACCCCTTCCCCTACTGGCCCGCAGGGAGCCGAGAGGAAGATGCGGGATGATGAGAGGAAGCAGTTCCGGAGGAAGGTCAAGTGCCCCGACTCCAGCAACAGCGGTCAGTGGGCTGCTCAGGCCCAGCCGGCTGGGGGCGGGCGGCAGCGTGGAGGCTAGGGTGCCTGTGGGACCTCAGGGCTCACTCTTCCCTTCTCCCCGCAGGCCTCAGGGGCTGCCTGCCTTCCGGCTTCAGGGGCAACGAGACCACCTACCTGCGGCCGGAGGCAGACCTGGAGACGCCGCCGGTGCTGTTCATCCCCAACGTGCACTTCTCCAGCCTGCAGCGTCCCGGAGGGGTGAGCTTTGGGGCCCGGAGAGGGGCCGGGCCCTGGCTGGGGCCGCCATAGCACAGAGCAGGGAGAGCCCCCTAGACAGCACTGGCCAGCTGAGATCTCACAGGGCCTGGTAGTTTCTCACATCAGGATGAACAAACCTTGAGGGTTATAAACGGGCACGCCCCAGGGACGCAGTGGGCGTCTGCTGAAGAGAAGGGCGTTGCGAGCTCGCAGACCCCGCAGCCATGAAGTGTTCCTGCCCGGAGCACGGGCTCGCAGCTCTGGGCCGGGTAGCTGCAGCCACGTTCTGGGGTGAGCTGGGGCAGCACCCAAGCTCTCCGGCCGGCTCCGCTCCGAGGCTTTCCCCACCTCCTCCAGCCCTGTCAGGCTGAAAACTGTTGTCTCTGGCTC